AAGGTTCCGTCGAACGTTGGTAAATTCAACTGGGGCAACCTGGGCAACATATTGACAGGTGTGTGGTTGTTTGGGGTACCTGCGGTGTTCAACACCACCCTTGGAATACTAGCCTTTAATGTACTTAACTTATCTTTGTACATATTCATCTCCTGATGACAATCTACATCATCCTTAGTGAATTCGTCCAGAGCCTGCTGAAGACTACCCTGGGATTCATTATCCTCAATAGCCTGTAGCTCATATGCTGAGAATGCTTGTTCATAGGCTTCCCATTTTTCCCCCAAACTCTTCAAGCAGTCTTGCAAATCATCGCAGTCTACGTTACTGTGTTGGCAAGTAGCCTTGCACCTGTTACGCGTTCTGTTCAGATGCCCTTTGTATGCCACTACTGACCGTTTTAATTTGTTAACACTGAACCAGACTCTCCTGAACTCCATCTGCCATTGTCGAAGTTTATATGAGGAGTGTGACACTAATTGTACTTTACCCAGTCCACCCCACAGCACGTCACGGTGTTAGGTAAGAATGAACGAGTCTTAAGGCTTCTCAACAAGCTTAACAATTCCCGTTGTTATATTGACTCTACTCTGACTTAAAATGTACACTGTTAGCTCTCAAATCCCAATCAAAATGTGTATCGATGTGAAAGCTTAACCTAGCACTTTCCTGTACAATGCCAGCAAATAATTACAGGACTTAACCTAGTTTCAGGTACAATTCACAAATCCCACATTAAAATGAATCATAGACAATGAAAATCACACAATAAAAAGTGCAGTATACAAATTAAAATCACTTGGTTAACACAAATAAATTCAACAAATCAACTTGTGAAACAGTAAATGAATAATGTATGTAAACAGCTTGGCCTAACTGCCCAGTTTACTCTGTCTAGCGTGGATGGTTGGATAAGGTAAATCCTAACCTAGCTAGTGTGCTATAGCTTAAACCTGGCTTTATAACTCCCTGTAAATAATAACTAGGTTAAATCTGTCCTAGCTACTATAACTGTTGTAAATATTGCACAAGCCTAGCCTAACTGTGGCTACCTTGCAAATCCACTGTAAGTAATCAACACACAAGTCTCCTACTCTGGATTACTTGTAATCACTGTAAATAATTAAATTCACAAGCTTTTCTAGCCTACCTGGCCTGCCTGTAAATTACTGCAAATAACAACTTCTGTGTATAGTCAGCTTGGCCTAGCTCTGTGTAACTTTGGGCCTAGGAGTGCTAACTTAACCTAACTTTGTTAAACTGGTTCCTAACTGTGGCCTAGCTATGATAGCTTAACCTAGCTATTCCACATCACGGTTTTCGAAGGACCACTTTTGTGAAAATTTGTGTGGACTGCCTCCAAGTGAGTCGCCTACCCTGGCAAACTCTGTTGACACCGAGCTCTGAGGTGGGCACTTCAGCCTCACAAGTGGCTTATAGGACAGATTTTCACAAATGATTGATGTTGCAAGAAACTCGCCTGCATGCACGTATAAAGGACTAACTTACTTGGTGTTGCAGCATATATCCTGATCTTCAACTTCCCTAAGCTTAGCCTTAGCCCCTTTGGACTTCCCCTCAGAAACCATGTGCAACCGGGAGCCTTAATTCCTGCAATATTCAATCGTTATTAGTGTCCTGCCTGCACCTCAGAAATTCCTATATCCAAGAGGGTATGTATCCCCTAGTATAACTATGCAGACACGGACACTAGCTTCCAGACTGCCCTGAGACACTGGTACATACTGGGCATGCACTGCCTGTTGCACACCAGGCCCACAGATCAACTCACTCACAATCTCCCCAGACACTGGCCAGAAATCTACGAAATAAAGTGGAGGTCTTGTCTTACTGTATGGGCCTGATGGAGGTCATCTACGGTACATCGAGGTGCCTCTACCAGATTTCCCCAGGTCTCAAATGTGAAGACACGTGGGGGGGCGCCGTCTGCTGATCACGGCATGTCTTGTCCAGTTGGTGTCTGTCTTAAGAAGGACGCTATTGTGTCTTTGAGACCCGCGCCTCGTCATTCAAGCTAGGGCTGCCAGTTCTCCCTAGCTAACTTAACCTAGTGTTTGCCTACATTATCGGCCTATTACTACCTATGTTAAGGTCTTAGGTCTACATTATTATTATGTACAGTTGCCTTAGTAAACCTAATATCAATATACTAACAGTAAAACTACCTACTCCTTCCCTGAAGAGTAAATCTATAAATTAAATAAATGCCTACCATCCACGCCACCCCCCGGGGAGAGAAATGTGTTTATGATTGGGGAGAACGCCTTTTGTTTGGGTGAGTTTAAGGGCCACCCAGCTCAGCCGCTCCATTACGGCCATGTCGGATCGGTCCTGTGGAACTTTAGGGACCAAATAAGTTTCCACATGGAGGCAGTCCAGACAAATTTTCACAAATGGTGTTAAAATTAAGAATTGCCTAGTCATTATAAGAAATGAAGCCTGAATAGGAGAATTCACACAGACATATTAACTGACACTGAGTATTTCCTGAATATTTTGGAAGGTTCTGCGACATCGGTTGGCAAAATGAGGGATTTATTCCCTCTATTTCATTAGTTAGAAGGTTGTATATAAAGGTATGTAAATGATCCACTATTGTAATGTAACTTTTTATTTCACATGACCTGTTCCCAGCGGTTAGAAGCTTAGGATTGGTTAACAACTCTCTTCTAGTTATTTTACCTCATGCTATCTGCAAACTGTGAGGCCTACTCCACCCGACCCCATATGGGGTGAGGTGTTGGATGGGGGGACCGGTGTGTGGTTGGTATTTCACTGGGTCTCCCTCAGACAGACTGGCTGGTGCCACAACACTACCGTACTCTGAAAATTTATCCTATTTCTCCTGTTGCTGCCTTTGCAACATTACACGGTTCCTGATGACGCAGTGAGAAGTGTGAAAGTACTTGAGCTAAAGGTTTCCTCCCCTTTCCCCCGTGGCTTGTCGTGCTATATATAATATATTCTATATATAATATATATATATATAATATATATATATATATATAATATATATATTATATATATAATATATATATATATATATATATATTAATATATATATATATATATTAAGGAATAACGTAGAATTTCAGCAGGATATATGTACTAAGAGATATGCACGTCTCGATATATATATATATATTATATATATATATATATATATAATATATATATATATATATATATATACTTGATAATTATTGATTCGTTGATGTCTTCAAGTGGGTGCAAATAGAAAGAAACTACTCTTGATGACCCTCATGTTGTAAAATAACTGTTTTGTTTTCCGACTCTCCATGCAGCTATATCCGGTGATGAACCTTGAGAACACTGTTCTTGTATACAACAACAAATTCACTAATATTTACAGGTTCAATCGAAATGATAGACCAAACTAAGCTCTGGCTCACACTCGCATTGCTTTGTAACCCATATAAGTTCAGCACTATTTTTGTATATACAATAATAATATTAATAAATATTTATATGCTTTCGTAGGAAATAAGAAAAGCTTTTGACACAGTAGACCACGGCATCCTACTCCACAAACTTGACCATTATGGTATAAGAGGCCATGCGCTTGCATATTTCAAATCTTACCTTACTAACAGGTATCAGTATGTCACCATTAAAGACACAGCATCAACAACACGGCCACTTGATACTGGAATTCCGCAGGGAAGTGTCCTTGGTCCCCTGCTCTTCCTCATATACATCAATGATCTTCCAAACGTATCCCAACACCTAAACCCCATTCTCTTTGCTGACGACACGACTTGTCATCTCTTACCCTAATCTTGCCACCCTCAACACCATTGTTAACGAGGAGCTGATCAAAATATGGACTTGGATGACAGCCAATAAACTTACGCTTAACACTGACAAAACCTACTACATTATGTTTGGTAGCAGAGCAGGAGTTGCGCAAATCAACATTAAGATCGGCAACACTCTAATTGCCAGACATAATGAGGGCAAATTCCTAGGCCTATACCTCGACAACAACCTGAATTTCAGCACCCATATCCAACACATAACCAAAAAAAGTATCCAAAACGGTTGGGATCCTCTCCAAGATACGATACTACGTGCCGCAAAATGCCCTTCTCACACTGTACCACTCACTTATTTATCCATACCTCACCTATGCTATTTGTGCTTGGGGATCAACTGCAGCAACACACCTAAAGCCAATAATAACCCAACAAAAAGCCGCAGTAAGAATAATCACTAAATCCCATCCCTGGCAACACCCCCTCCCCCCCACTCTTCATAGATCTAAACTTACTCCCTGTTCAGTACATCCACACTTGCTACTGTGCAATCTACATCTACAGGACCTTAAATTCCAATATTAACCTTGACCTAAAACGCTTTCTTGATAGTTGTGACAGAACCCACAGGCATAACACCAGACACAAACATCTCTATGACATTCCCCGTGTCCGACTAAACCTTTACAAAAATTCAATGTATGTCAAAGGCCCTAAAATCTGGAACACCCTACCTGAAAACTCTAGAGCTGCAGACACATTCATCACCTTCAAAACTACCATTAGAAAACATCTTATCTCCCTGATACACCCTGTCAACTAATTACACGAATACCACCTGGTGGTTCACGCTTACACTCACTCACCCATTTGACCATAAAAAGAAATATCAATCTCAATTTTAAAATAATGAATCCTAACTAGTCATAAGTTGGCCTGTGATACTCCAATACTGAAACTATGTATTGTGCCAAAACAAAGGCATTCACATTGCTAAACTCACAAACTAGTATTTAGTCACTTAGCCATAATACCAACTTACCTCATACTTTGTAATATTTTAAATTTAAGATTTAAACTAAGTTTGCCCGAAATGCCTAGCCATGCTAGGTGTTCTAGTGGTACACTCTGTAATTATTATTTTACTACATGTAAACCACACAATACCCAAATTCTGTAAACTCAGCATTGTAATCCTTATAGGAGCATTCGCCTTCATCTCTCTCGAGCTTCCCAATGAGATGGTTCGGTACCAGGCGAAGCAGATGAAGGCGGTGGAGGTGAACCAGACCCTCAACTATGTCACTGACCTCTTCTGGTACTACCAAGGCATGAACTGGACCAACTTTAAGACCTACAACGACACAGTAAGTTTGCTCCTTAAGTCGTCCAATCATTCGTCATCATTCTTCTTCCGTCAGGGGTCACATAGTGTGTAGAGAATGAGCTATAAAAAAGGTTTGATCCTAGGAAGGTAAGGGTAACCCCAGTTCTTCTGATCGAGAGCCCTTACCTGGAGTATACCTGGAGAGGGTTTTCGGGGCTCAACACCCCCGGGGCTTGGTCTGAGACCAGGCCTCATAGTGGATCAGGGTTTGATCAACCAGGCTGATACTGCTGGCCGCACGCAAACTGACGTACGAACCACAGCCCGGCTGCTCAGGTACTGACTTTGCGTACCTGTCCAGTGTCTTCTTGAAGACAGCCAGGGGTCTGTTTGTAATCCCCCTTATGTACGCTGGAAGGCAGCTGAACAGTCTTGGGCCCCGGACAGTTATAGTGTTGTCTCTCAATGTACTCGTGGCGCCCCTGTTTTTCATTGGGGAAATGTTGCATCTCCTATCGAATCTTTGGCTTTTGCTTTTGCTCTTCAACGAACGAACACGAAGAAGACGACCAGAGTTGTCGTGAGATGGGAAGGAAGAAGGATGAGGAAGGATGGAAATACTGAAAAGGATGGGAGGGAGGAGGAGAGGGGGAAAATAGGCAAGTGACCCAACCACCTTGGGACATGTGGTACAGAAGTACTGCAGGCTTAGATGGAGAGGGATGAACGACGTCGGTACTTGACTCACAAGGAGAGGATGGCAAAGGCGGCGGCAAGAGCTGGTAGTGTCAGAAGGCAGCAAGCAGGATGAGTTGTATTGGTGATGGTCGGCTTGAGGCTTGCTAGGCAACTGTCCCATTATGAAGAGTCTGGAACTTCGGTTTTGTCATGTAGATGAGTTTAAACTTGCGGTCAGGGGTCTATCCCTGGAGCAGTAAGGAGATTGATGAGTTCTGCAAGGAAGATAACACGTGAGGGTCTACAGACGAACTTGACTTCTTCGCGCTGGAGGAGGGGGATCAACGTCCGGGCATCCAATTCATTAGGATACTGCCGAGTGGTGAAGAAAGAGATTCCAGTAATCGAAATGTTGGGATGGTCATTCTCAGAGTCAGAGGCAGGTGAAGTCGTTGATTGGACAGATTTGTTGGTGTAGGAAGACTAGGACGCTGCTCGTGTCTTGACAGATATGGTGGCTAGCGTTGGAGGCGGTTTTCATTGGTGGATTGCGAAGTAGAGCAGGTGGCTTCTGCAGAAATCATATTTTGCAAGTCATCAGGTGCCTCGAAGCTGACGATTTTTTGAATAATCTTCAAAACATCAGCTGAAGCAGGACTAGCTGGGAAGTTGAGTGATGGCAGATTGTTGAGGGCAAGAATATCATTCATAGTTGTATTGAAACAACCCGGGTTAGCTGCATTTTGCATGTGTGCAGACATCAGGCAGTAGTAGAATTTTGTTGAAATATCTTCTGGTAGAGGAGAGGCGGTGAGTGGTGGAGGCTGCTGAGTGGCATAAGTAGGAGCAGCATAAGTAGGAAAGTTTCATGTAGTCTTCTTCAGGTTTTCCTTTAGTTTCTTTGAAAAGATCTCCTTACGAACAGGACATTTAACTGCGAGTGTATGGTGGTCACTCTTACAGTTGATGCAGGTGGGAGCAGCAGTTGAGGTGCAGGAACGAAAGTCGTGACCTTCAGACCCACAGTGGAACAGATCTTCTTGTTCTTCACATGGCATTCAGCAGTTGAATGATTGTAGAAGCAGTATGTCTAACAAGGTGTTACATGATTGAAGCGTTCTGGTTCAATTTGACGAGAGTTGATAAAGTAGGAGGAGATGGCCAGGCCATCAGACAGTGCTCTGGTCGCCATTGTGACATTCAGAAACGTGACGCTGAGCATCGAGGAAGCGTTGGGGATCTTCACAACAGAGTCACTCTTAGCCCAGGCGTTAAGATCTTCGAGTGATGACTTAATGTCGTCGGGAGACATGTTGGTGATGAGCTTATCAAGGCGTTTCATGAACACTGACCATTCAGCTAGCATGTAAGGTGAGGTAGAGATGGTAAAGCCACGGTCGTCTAAGATTTTCAGTGCAGCAGGCGTGAGTACCTTGTTTGCTTCTTCATCATCAAGAAAGGTGACAAGGAAAGCTTCTTTCAGAGAAGTAATGGTCGAGAACTTAACTCTCAGACTAGATTGGAGAGAGGATGCAAGTTTAAACTTCGTGGCATCGTTGATGACAGCAGTCCTGGGTTTAATTCTCACACGATGAGACATCGTGGAGATAGTAGAGGTTCCCCTCCCCAACGGGGATCGTAGGGAGACTGTGAATGTGAATATGCCCTTCAACAAAATCCAAGAACTTCCCTCCAGGATGTCACAACAGTCGACTGACATCCAGGTATTTATTCACGGCTAGGTGAACAGGGACAACAGGTGCAGTAATGTTTACTCGCTCTAAACTGAACAGAGATCCTTCGGTTGTTAGCCGAAGGTGCAATTTACCACTGATCTACGGAATTATGTTACCACTGAACTAGGAGCTACTTAGAATTACGCCCTGAACTTGGACCATCAGGGATTCTTATATTTAGAATTCTGAAAATGGGTTTAGCTGTGTTTCGACACATTTTATGATTTATTCGTTGAAAACAAAGGCATTGTACGGTAGCTTTAAAAGTTATGTTCATAATTTTTTTATTGTGTTCATAGTTTTCTTAATTTACTAGAAGTCACAGAAGACAATCAGGGGTTATATTCGTTACTCATTTATTCTATTAAACATTCTGTCTATAAATGAAAACAAGAGCTCTCCACCATGTAGTTGTATACCACCCTGTCTGCCATAGTAATCTTATGATACCCTGTTTATCATGGTAGTTTTTTGATACCCTGTCTATTACGGTAGTCTTCTAATACTGTCTACCATGGCCTGCTTCTGACACTTTCCTCTTTACCATAACAGCCTTCTGAAACCTCTGTCGCCAACAGATGTACCGGGAACTCAAGAAGTTGGAGTTGTATATTATCTCGTGTGTGAATAACTATGGCTATGACGGCACTGTGACCGGCTGGGTCTACAGCTGGACCTTCCCTAAAGCTCTCCTCTTAACCATCACTATCATGACCACTATAGGTACGATAATAATAATAATAATAATAATAATAATAATAATAATAATAATAATAATAATAATAATAATAATAATTGCTCATCAATATTTGAGGGTCAGTTGTGAATTGTTTAAGCCTGGACATGGTGATTTCAGTTTTCATGAAAGGGTATATTAGCGTTGCTGTGATATATATAGGTTAGGTTAGGTAAGATTTGTCAAGACCCAGGACAAGTACTTCCTGACGCGGGTCATAGTCATATGATGACCCGCAGCTGAAATAATGCAAGCTTTATCTCTCAGGATACGGCAACACAGTTCCGTTGACCAACTATGGCAGGTTGTTCTGCATCTTCTTCGCCATCACTGGTTGCCCGATCTTCCTGGTTTTCATAAGCAAGTTGGGCTCAGTCATGGCCCATGCTTCCGTCTACGTCTACAGGTAAGCTCTGTCTATATCTACAGGTATGCCTCCGTCTACCTTTTGCAGGTACTAATTGTTAAGTGTTTTTTTAGTGAATGCCTCTCAAGCTAAATGCCTGATGACTTGCTTATGACACTATCTTATCTTCCACTTGCCATATATGTAAAATACAGCATGTTGTAATCTCTCTTTTCGAAAATCAGGTTGAACACTACGAAAAAGCATATGTTCCTTGAAATAAATGACATTAATTAAATTTATGATGCCAACCTAACTCTGTTGTGTTGGACTAGAGGCTATTATTATTACACTTATTTAAGCAAGGATTAGTTTACTTGTAAAGTTCGTGATGGTGCTTGTATAAGGTACAATTTTACATATCGTAATAATTTGCAAAAATCTGTCTATATAAAGATAATTTTTTTTGAATGGGAAGTAAGAATATATGGACATTAAGAGGGACATTAAAAAGGGGAGAAGAAAAAGCTAAAAGGGACGATGACATTTAAGTTGCTAGGATTCTAAAACTAACCCAAAAAGTTTTTTCCAGGTCTATAGAACAAAAGTCAGAGATAAGATAGGTCCCCTTAAAAAATAACTATGGGCATCTTATGAAAAAGAGAAGAAATGTGCACGAATTTAAATAAATATTTCTCTCGGTTTTACCAACAGGAAACACAATAATAATCCGTAATTAATTTTATAGTGGATCAGAAAAGAAGATAAAGTTATGTAACATCACAGTCAACTATGAAATGTTTGTGAAGCAGATAGACAACTGAAGCAAAATAAGTCACCGTCCTGATAGGTTTTTTCAAGGGTTTCTAAAGGAATGCAAAATGGAAGTCTGTGAACCCTAACTAAAATTTTTAATATTATCTCTTCAAAACCAGTGCAGTGTCTGATATGTGGAAGATGGCTAATGTAATTCCCTATTATTAAAACAGGGGACAAGTCCGTTACCGTCAAATTAACCACGTGCCCAATAAGCCTGACCTCAATTGTAGGCCAAATTACTTAAGTCCACTTATTTGCTGAGATTATAAGAAGCCATCTCGATAAGCATAGCTTTATTCATGATACACAGCATGGATTCACAATAGGCCGTCTTGTCTAACTTAATTTATTTAACTTCTTCAGTAAAGCGTTTGAGGCTGTTACATAAAACTATAAGAAAAGGAGGAACACTCACTAGGCCCAGTTGGCCCATACAGGCAGGTCCAATACAATTCATCCCACTAACAAACATTTGACCCCCCAATTTTCATGCTACCCAAGAAATAAGCTCTGATGTGCAAGTCCCACTCAAATCCAACCCCTCCCACTCTGTACTTATCCAACCTAAATTTGAAACTACCCAAAGTCCTAGCCTCAATAACCCAACTAGGTAGACTGTTCCCACACATCAACTACCCACTTCCAACAATACTTGCCTATGTCCTTCTAAATCTAAACTTAACTAATTAAATCCATTACTGCGGTTTCACTTGGGAGAGCTATCCTCAAGACCTTGTTAATATCCCCTTTATTATACCTAACTTCCACTTAAACCCATCGATCAGGTCTCCCCCTCATTCTTCGACTAACAAGTGAATTGTATACTTAAGAGTCTTCAATCTTTCTTCATAAGGAAGATTTCTAATGCTAATGTATTTAAATTTAGTCATCTATCGCTGAATGTTTTCTAACGAATTTATGTCCATTCTGTAATATGGTGACGCAGAATTGAGCTTCATAATCTAGGTGAGGCCTTACTACTGATGTATAAAAAGCTGCAGAATGAACCTCTGGACTCTGTTGCTTACACTTCTTTCTTGATATAAATCCCAGTATCTATGTGCCTAATTACGTACGCATAGGCACTTGCTGTCTTGGTTTAAGGTTGCTTCTTACCATAACCCCCAAGTCTTTTTCGCAATCTGTATGGTTTAATTTCTACATTCTTTATCTTATAAGTGCTAGGTTTATGGACACTCCACGAGTTTCAGAACCTTGCATAACTTCATTGAATCTGCATCTGCCACTTTTCTGACCAAGAGTAAGTTGGTCCTAAATCCTCCTGAAGTTCCCTAAACATCTACGTTTGAATCAATTTATTCTACCTATCTTCGTGTCATCAAGCGAATTTGCTCATATCACTAGTAATTCCTTCATCAAGATCATTGATGATATATTATAAACAACAACGGGCCCAAGATCGGATCCCTGTGGAACGCCACTTGTTACTGGATTCCCCACTCAGATTTAACCCCATTTATGGGACACCTCTCTGCTTCCTGTCTGTCACCATGATTCGATCCACGAGACCCCTTCCCCCAATGCCAGAGCTCTACTTTCATCAACGTCTTGGTGGCGGAACTCATCAAATGCCTTACTAAAATCTAAGTAATAATATCAAATTCCTTTATCTGTGGTCAACAGCCTCAAAAGCTTTAACTGAAAAAGTTAATAAATTAGTTAGACAAGACCGGCCTCTTGTGAATCCTGCTGAGTATCATTAATTAATAAAGCTATGCTTATCTATCGAGATGGCTTCTTAAAATCTCAGCTATAATCGACTCTAGTAAAATTTGCCTACAATTGAGGTCACTTATTGGGCGGTAATTTGACGGTAAAGACTTGTCCCAGTTTTAAAAATAGGAATTACATTAGCATCTTCCACATATCAACACTGCACCATTTTGAAGAATAAATTAAAAATATTAGTTAATGGTTCACAGACTTCCATTTTGCATTCCTTTAGAACCCTTGAAAAAACCTCATCAGGACCCGGTGACTTATTTTGCTTCAGCCCTGTCTATCTGCTTCAAAACCCCATTTCACTAGTGACTGTGATGTTACATAATTTATCTTTTTCTGATCCACTATAAAAATTAAATTACCGGAATATTATTAGTGTCTCCTTTTGTAAAAACCGAGAGAAAATAATTATTTAAATCGAGCACATTTCATTCTCTTTGTCAGTAAGATGCCCATAGTTATTTTTAAGGGGACCTATCTTATCTCTTTACTTTTGTTCTAATACCTGGGGAAAAAACTTTTGGGGGTTTGTTTTAGAATCCCTAGCAACTTTAATTTCATAGTCCCTTTTAGCTTTTCTTATCCCCTTTTTAATGTCCCTCTTAGTGTCAATATACTGATTCATAAGATGACCCTCGCCTCTTTGATACGCCTATAAATTCCTTTCTTATGCCCCAGTAATATTTCAGCCCATTATTCATCCATTTTGGGTCATTTCTATTTGATCTAATTTCTTTAAAAAGGGGTAAATGTTCTTTGAGCAGCATGTATTGTGTTCAGAAAACTGTCATATTGATAGCTCTCTTCGTTACCCCAGTCAACAGATGATAAGTGTTCTCTAAGCCCATCGTAATCTGCTAAGCGAAAATCTGGGACTGTTACTGAGTTATCCCTACTATCATACTTCCATTCAATTCTAAATGTAATTGATTTGTGGTCGCTAGCACCCAGTTCTTCCGAAACTTCTAAATTATTAACAAGGGATTCATTGTTTCCCAGAACTAAGTCAAGCAGGTTATTTCCCCTTGTAGGTTCTGTCACAAACTGCTTCAGAAAACAATCCTGAACTACTTCTAAGAAGTCGTATGATTCTAAATTCCCAGTCAAGAAATTCCAATCAATATGACTAAAGTTAAAATCTCCTAGAATTACTACATTATCGTGCCTTGTGGCCCTAACAATTTCCTCCCATAGTAGTCTTCCCTGGTCCCTATCTAAATTTGGGGGACGGTAATCACACCTAAAGTTAAATTTTTCATGCCCCTCTGAAAATTCTATCCAAACAGACTCTGTATGTGTACTTCAGACTTAATACCCGTTTTTTAATGCAACTGTTTCAAGCGATCTCGGACATACAATGCCACCCCACCCCCCTTCCCGATACTTCTATCGACTTGGAACAATTTGAAACCCTGAATGTGACATCTGCAGCAAGTTCCCGACTTTTTGAATTAAACCACGTCTCATTAATGGCAAATACATCTATGTTACCTGCACTAGCAAGACTAGTCTCAACTCGTCCATCTTATTCCCTAGCACTGCGAACATTTGGTGTATATATACTTAAGACCCTCCTTTCTCTTATCATTTCTGCTCCTTCTGTTATTCCCACTAAAACCTATTACGTCCCTTGTCAATTAGTGCCACTGGCTTTCCGAAAATCCACCTCATTTTGGCCTATTACTAGACTCCAATACTCATATTACTAGCCTGAGACTTCACAGTTTTTCCCCGCAGAAACCCTACCAAACTATTCCTAGTTAAGACCTAACAGCTTCCCTCACGCGTTGGCCAGTGCTACCCACCCCTATACCTAGATAAGTGAAACCCCATCCCTGGCATACATGTCATTTCTCTGCCATAGAAAAGGTCCCAGTTGTCAATGAATGTCACCGCATTTCCTTACAGTATTTGGTCCCACCACATGACACCAATTGCACTGGACAACCATCATTACCAACACCTCTTCTTGGCAAAATGCCACATATAACAGGGCGCCCCCCCTTCTTTCCTAATCATGTCTATAGCTGTCCTGAACTTTCAAACTAAATCCTCACTTCTAATACGCTTGCCTACATCATTGCCTCCAGCACTGAGGCAATATTAGGATTTGATCCCATAACCGTCAATGATGTTATCAATCCCGGCTAACAATGTCCTCCATCCAGCCCCAGGAAAGCATACCTTTGTCTCCCTACTCCTGTCCTTCAAGCAAATGCCCTATCCATGTATCTAACCTGGCTATCCCCAACAACAACAAATTCGTTATAACCTTCCTTGTTGTCGTTCGTCGTGACGATCCCAAGTAGTATACTCACATTCGTCGGGAAGCACCGAGAATGCGTTGGAGGTTTTCCACGGGAGTTTCCACAGCAGACTCCTTTCTTCTTCATCGTTTCTGGCTTTCCATCGTCATCTTGATCGTCAACTTCGTCCGTCCCCTGCTGTCCAGCCACTGACCACGATCCCTCTGACCTGAGGGACTTGAGAGTGGGTTCGAAACAGGAGGACTACTAACTACAATCCTCATGTTTTCCTCCGGGTCAGGTCGCCGTATCTCCATCTCGCTTGCCCTCAATTCCTCCTTAAGTATGCTGGTAAGTTGATCCTCGATGGAGGGCATCTTGGTTCAGTCCACGCGAGCAAACAAGACACTTATTCACAGAGTTAAGTATAGGTCAGCACTCAAAGTACAGGTCACCACTCAAGAGCACACAAACAGGTCTTCAACAGCACAGAGCAAAGTACACGTCAACAAATTGAGCTAAGTACAACACGTCCAGAAGCTGAGAAATTTCCAGGATAACCGACAAACGATCCAGATTTCTTTCTGTTGCATCCGGCACTTCAACTTCCCGGGCACAGAAGGACTGACGGAGAGTTTTGACAACACTGAGTGAGAAGCAGTAACCTAGAGAAGAAAGAAATACTACCCAGGATCCCTTATATTATTTATGTGTTGTACTTGTATATGTGTTGTAACTTGTATATTTTGTTATTTCTTGCGTAGTCTCATATGTAAACTGGACAACATTTTGTAAGGCATATGGATAGAGTCCGCACCAAGACTGTTGAAGAAAGTAGCAGCTCAGGCATTGGGGGAAGGGTGCTCTCGTGGATCGACCATGGCTCACAGACAGGAAGCAAAGAGTGTCCATAAAGGGGGTTAAATCCGAGTGGGGATCAGTAACAAGTGGCGTTCCACAGGGATCAGTCTTGGGCCCGTTGTTGTTTATAATATATATCAATGATCTTGATGAAGGAATTACTAGTGATATGAGCAAATTCGCCGATGACACGAAGATAGGTAGGATAATTGATTCAAACGTAGATGTTAGGAACTTCAGGAGGATTTAGACAAACTCTACTCTTGGTCAGAAAGTGGCAGATGCAGTTCAATGTAGATAAATGCAAGGTTCTGAAGCTCGGGAGTGTCCATAACCCTAGCACTTATAAGTTAAATAATGTAGAACTTAACCATACAGATTGCAAAAGGACTTGGGGTTATGGTAAGCAGCAACCTTAAACCAAGACAGCAATACCTAAGCGAAACGTAATAAGGCAAATAGATTACTGGGATTTATATCAAGAAGTGTAAGCAACAGAAGTCCAAGGTCATACTGCAGCTTTATACATCATTAGTAAAGGCCTCACCTAGATTATGCAGCGCAATTCTGGTCGCCATATTACAGAATGGACATAAATTCGTTAGAAAACATTCAGCGTAGGATGACTAAATTAATACATAGCATTAGAAATCTTCCTTAAGAAGAAAGATTGAAGACTCTTAAGTTACATTCACTTGTTAGACGAAGAATGGGGGGAGACCTGATCGAAGTGTATAAGTGGAAGATAGGTATTAATAAAGGGGATATTAACAAGGTCTTGAGGATATCTCTCCAAGAGAGAACCCGCAGTAATGGATTTAAATTAGATAAGTTTAGATTTAGAAAGGACATAGGAAAGTATTGGTTTGGAAATAGGGTAGTAGATGAGTGGAACAGTCTACCTAGTTGGGTTATTGAGGCTAGGACTTTGGGTAGTTTCAAATTTAGGTTGGATAAATACATGAGTGGGATGGGTTGGATTTGAGTGGGACTTGCACATCAGAGCTTATTTCTTGGGTAGCATTGAAAATTGGGTAGGTCAAATGTTTGTTAGTGGGATGAATTGTAAAGGACCTGCCTAGTATGGGCCAACAGGCCTGCTGCAGTGTTCCTCCTTTCTTATGTTCTTATGTTCTTATTGGGAGTGGATAAGTCCATGCAACTGACGGGATGTGAAGTGTGGGATACATTCAGACTGGATGTATGAACTGTATCAGTGTGTATATATACAGTAAACGTATACATTTCTTTTCAGCCGGTTCTGCTGTCGTTGGTGCAGGACGAGGCGCTACGACGAGGAACTTCCTCCCAACGTTAGCAAGAGGCAACGCAAACTCATCTTAGATGACGATGTCGGCAACGAGGAGTATATGCCAACGAACAGGGTGAGGGGAGGCTTGTGGGCACATATGTGGATTTAGAACTTGGTGACATTTACGATGAGCATTATCTTGGCTTACTGGTTTGTAAGTATTCGTAGTTGTTCGTGTTTACCCTCCAGCTCTTGGGCTGAGTGAGACTCATGAACCTCGTGTAGATTATCTCGAGCTTCTTGAATTGCGTAATAACTTCGGAAAATATGGGCGGAATCTATTTTTAAAGGAGTTGACCGGTAAGTCAGCGGAAGGACTCAGTCGGCTGGCCTTTATGAAGCTCCAGTGGCTGGTCATCATATGACTAAGATTTGAGTCAGGAAACAATTGTCCTGTCTCCTGACGCATTTTACCTAACCTAACCTTTCCAGCGTGCTCCCCTCCTCACTATCTCACTTATCCTTCTGTTTTATCTGATCTCTGTTAATCTTTGCTGGAATTCTATTTGGCAGTTGAACGTGCCCATCACTGTCAACTTGGTACTGATGACTGCGTATATCATGCTGGGAGGTGTCTTGAACTCCAAATGGGAGGGCTGGGACCTTCTCTCCTCCTGCTACTTCACCTTTATTAGCCTCTCCACCATCGGCTACGGAGACTTGGTCCCCGGTCAGCAAGCCAACGAGACTAGCAGCACCAACAACACCAAGATGATCATCTGTGTCTTATACATCATTATTGGTGAGTGTGTTGGGACACACACACACACAAACACACACACACAGACACACACAAACACACATGATACATGAGACATGATAACGACATACAAAATACTGCGTGAAATAGACAAGGTGGACAGAGACATGATGTTCCAGGGAGGGGACACACAAACAAGGGGTCACAATTAGAAGTTGAAGACCCAGATGAGTCAAAGGGATGTTAGGAAGTATTTCTTCAGTCATAGAGCAATAAAGTTGGTAGAATTACCGACAATATGTAAAGTAAAAGGACACAAGTGCAACTAATGTGACATTTATTGTGGTAACGTTTCGCTCTCCAGGAGCGAATGGCTTGATAAAGCTCCTGGAGAGCGAAACGTTGCCACAATAAATGTCACATTAGTTGCACTTGTGTCCTTTTACTTTACAGTCATAGAGTAGTTAGGAAGTGGAGCAGCCTAGCAAGCGAGGTAGTGGAGGCAGGAACCATGCATAGCTTTAACTTGGTTCTGGCAAACAAATTTCAGATGAACTTGGCGCAAGTGACCACAAATTAATTACCTTTAACATTGAATGGAAATATGATAGTAGGGATAACTCAGTAACAGTCCCAGATTTTCGCTTAGCAGATTACAACGGGCTTATCATCTGTGGACTGGGGTAACGCTTTCTAAACACTATAAATGCTGCCCAAAGAAAATTTATTCCATATAAAGAAATTATATCGAATAGAAATGACCCGAAATGGGTGAATAATAAGCTCAAATATGTTTTAGAGCAGAAAACAGGAATTTATACGCGCATCAAAATAGGTGAGGATCATCTTGTAAATTAATATATTCAAATTAAGAGGGATGTTAAAAAGGGGATAGGAAAGCTAAACGGGATTATGAAATTAAAGTTGTTAGGGACTCGAAAACTAATCCACAGGTTTTTTCCAGGTTTATTGAATAAAAGTTAAAGAAAAGATAGGTCCCCTTAAAAATAACTCTGGGCATCTTACTGACAAGGAAAATGAAATGTGCTCGAGTTTTAATAATTATTTACTCTCGGTTTTCACACAGGAAGACACTAACAGTATCCCAATAATTAATTTTTGTAGTGGGCCTGAAGAAGATAAATTATGTAATATCAAAGTCACCAGGGATATGGTAATCGAACAGGTAGACCGAATGA